CATACACACACACAGTCTCTCCCTCCCACACACACACATACACACACACAGTCTCTCCCTCCCACACACACACATACACACACACACACAGTCTCTCCCTCCCACACACACACATACACACACACACACAGTCTCTCCCTCCCACACACACACATACACACCCACAGACACACTCTCTCTCTCCCACGCACACACACACACATACACACAGTCTCTCTCTCCCACACACACACGCACATACACACTCTTTCTCTCCCACACGCACAGACACATACACACACACGCACATACACTTGAATCTATGGGGTGAATTTGTATTTACAGATACATTTTGTTCAAAAAGAACACAATTATAGACAGTCAGTCAATATGGCATTTTATAAATTCCTACTTGAGTAATAAAACCAGTCTGACTCCAAACAAAAACACAAACACAGTCTAAACAAGGTCTCATACCTAAACATGCATTGTCTGATTGAAATGTCACCTCTTCTTCACACTGATAAAATCTTCATTTCTCTCAGGGCAATGACTTGAAAGGAATTCGTGGATTAACATATATCTATTAATCCGTTAAAACCTTCTAACTGATTAAAGATTTAACAGCATCTTAGGTTGTTTATTACATCCTCTATCAATGGTGTGAACCTTTGATCTCTTACTTATACATTCTGTGTCTGGTATTACCTCTATCACTAACACCTGAAGAAGGTCTGAGGCTCCGAAAGCTCATGTTTTCAAATAAACCTGTTGGACTATAACCTGGTGTTGTGTGATTTCTGACCTGGTCCAACGCAGGCACCTCCACATCATGACACACACACACACACACACACACACATCCCGAAGACCGGGCAGGAGTTGACCTTTTGCAGTTCCCACTGGAGGCCAGCCTCCTGGCTAGGTGGCAGCAGCGGGGGAGGAAAGCGCGACGCCCGCCGTGTGTCTGATGAAATCGCGGCCGCCCGCCCGCCCCCACCTTCCCCCCCCCACCTTCCCCCCCCCATTCCACTTCAATCCGCCTCGGGAGATGGAGGAGCGTGGACGGACGGTTGCGTGTTGCGGGATGGACGGTGACAGGACCGAGATCTGGCAGCAACAGCACCACCTTCACCTCCACCTCCACCATCTCCTGCAGGTCGTATCGCGGCACCGGGCGGACTGTTACGGCTGGGCCGCTTCTAATTTCGAGGTTTGGGCGCCGAAGTTCGTTGGCTCACAAAATGGCGGCTGCGCCTTGAACCATTAGGGAACGGTCGGGCGGCGTAAAGCAGTCGGTCGGTCGGTTGTGTTTTTTTTATACATTGTTTCCCCCCCAAGGGCGATTTTTTTTATTGTTGTTGTCGTGAATCTTTTCCTTTTTTTTAAGAAATGAACTGGGAGCAGCCGGGTCCAGCCCCCGCGGCCGCCTCCTGCAGTGACGGCGGCCTTGGGGGACACCCTGTCGGGCCTGCCCTCTACCAGAGCCCGTGGATGAGGCTGCTGTCCTTGTTTCACAGGCCGAGCCTGGCCCGTTTCCACCGCCACGAAGGGGAGCCCCACCTGAGCCGCGGCTCGGGCCTCCTGGGGCCTGTCCTGGACAAAATGCGGGGAGTCGGCGGCGAGAGGGAGGCCGTGTCCCCCATCGGGGGTCTCTGGGCCGCCGCCTGGCACTGGGTGGGGGCAGCCGAGCCTCCACCTCAGGAGGAGGAGGAGAAGAAGCTGGAGGTTGTAGTGCAGGCGCCGCCGAAGATCCCCGAGGCTTCCCCTGCCGCTCGGACCCTCGTCCCGGTCTTCCCCGGCTTGTTGTCCAAAGTGTTGGGGCGGATCTATTCCCTGGAAACGGCCAGCAGCAGTGAAACCAGCCCCTTCCATCCATGCCTGCCTCATCCCCTGGACTTCGACAGGACGAGCTTAGGACTGCCCCAGTGGAGCTCTGACTATCCAGCAGCTTCTGTGCAGCAGCTGCTGGCCCCAGCGCAGCCCAGCATCCAGCAGATGGAGAAATACCTGGAATTCTCCCACTACCACAGAGGGGTGGGCATTGCCACCCCATCCGATCAGGACTACGGCTATTCCAGCTTGGAAGAGGAGCATATCGGCTCCCAGTGCCAAAACATGAGGTATTCAGGCAAAGGGGTGCCTCCTGAGCCTGCCCCCAGTGTAGACAACTGCTCCGAAGGTAATGATCTGAAGGCCAACAGGGTCACTTGCGTGGATAATGAAAAGATAGTTTTGCTGCCCCTTTCAGTTGACTCGACCGTGCTCGACCTGCAGTATTTGGGTATTGAGAATACCATTAGAGACAATGAGTGGGATAGCGATGAGAGTAACAGTGATGAATCGGAGGATGATGCTGAGGAAGAGGATGACTGCTATCCCGTATCCAGACCTCATTGCTCCAATAAAACAATAGCTTATATTTTAGGAAGCAACTCCATTAGTGATAGTGATGACAGTGAGGAGGATGAGGACGGCGACTCAGGTGACGATGGTTTTGACAGCGATGGTAGCAGTTCTGAACTCTCAGATACTGATGAAGAACTGTTGAACATTTTAGCTGGGACCTCCGATCCTTATAACCTTATGAATTTTCAAGCCTGCATTAAAACCCGACACAAAAAGGACACAAGAACTGTATTCCAGTCCAGTTGCACTCAGCAACCCAAGTTGTGTACCATTGAGCTGGACGATGATTCAGACAGACTGGATAGTGGGTTTACTGACGAAATTCAGCATGAACTACAGAAAACATTCACCAAAGTAGCTTCTGTAAAAAAATGCTCCAAAAAGGTAACTAATTTTTGATTTCCCTATGTCAGACAATGATATCATTTGAGAATTGAAGATGCAGGGGCAAACAGACTTCAGATATTTGAACCTAATGTTTCCTGAAATTTCTGTATTGACTACACTGTGAATCTCACATTAGTCTGGAACTAGCAGTTAAAGTGGCTTTAAAATAATGGATGCTATAATGCTTAATGTACGTGGTTGACTTAGTCACCACTTATGGAAAATTCAAAGTAATGTGTTTTAAGTTGTTGGTGTGTACTTCAGAAATGCCTCGTGAAAATGTTTTGCACAGAATTGCTGCATGTGATAATGTGCAACTTAAATAAAAATATGAAAGGTAGACTCTGCCCAAACAACACCCAGGGTTTTGTGAGCAAGTTAAACACGTGGCAAATACTCACGTCACAACCTTGTCTTATGTTAGATGAAACATCCACAGTCAGCCATTACATGACCGGTGAGAACAAAAAAAATTAGTTGCTGGTAAGCAGAGAAGCAGTTGGGTTATAACCCTGGGTTTGTAGGTAATGTTGGCCTGCTTCTGAACAGTCCCATAGACTATGGCATGCTATCTGTCTGAGTGGCCCACTTATCTGAGAGCGTGCTGGGTGGACCTGAAAAATCTTCAGTGGAGATAGTAATTCTGTTTAAATAATTGAAGGAAGTGATTTGCATGACATATCTTGAGGCTGTCTTTCCCTTTTATGTGCACCCTTCTTAGTGGAAGTTTGCTTTTTTAAAGTAATTTGTATTAAGTGTTATGTGACACAGTAGCTCAGTGGTTAGCATTGCTGCCTGAGCACCAGGGACCCAGGGTTAACTGAATTGCCCTTTGAAAGCCATAGTGGACTTGATGGACTGAATGGCTGCCTTGTCTGCTTGTCATTCTGGATTTACCATCTCCAGGATCACTGGTTTGGAGGGGTAGCTGTGTAGAATCCACAATGGTTTGCTTGGCAACATCCAGTAGATAGCAAAGTCTGCAACCACTGCTAGAGTTCAGGGTAGATCCAGGATATTGATCAAGCTGGCTATTTGTTGTGGATGATGTCTTGCTTCTTGGATACTATTGCAGTCACTCTCTTCAAGACAAGTGGATTTGTTTCGGGGAGTTGGGAAGTGAGTATGTACAACTAAATTTCCATTTTAGGGGTGCTCAAATATTTGTGGTGTGGGAGATTCTGTGATGGGAATACCATCAAATATCACAGGTAGATATTCAGACTCTGGGTTGGGATGGTTGTTGCACAAATTTAACTTGTCTTTTATTGTATCACTGGAGAGTGAAAAAGAATAAAACAGAATTTCCTTTATTTTCCTTCAAAAGATGAGAGAGAGACAACAAGATAGTAATTGGATACCTACAAAATAATAAAGCAGATCGGCACTTTGCCTACTATGCTGGATTACCAAGTACTTTTCCTGGAATCCTGGTAATTCCCTTGAGTTTAGTCAGTCACCTTTTTTTTGACTCGTTCTCAGAATGTTGGCATTTCATTGTTCTGGTGGTATTGCAGCTTAACCTATAAGGACACTACTGTGTATTAATTTATAATATCTGACTCATTCAGCAGTCACTTGTAGCACTATTTCATCAATACCATGAATCAGATGTTTAGAGTGTACATGGAGTGAGTAAGAGCTTATTGAACTGTGTTGGAATCTTGGTGTGATTACAGAAAGAAATTTTCCATATGGTTATTTGTGCACTAATGTTCAAGCAGCAAAACTAGGGTCTGAAGTGGTCTGTTTGGGACTTTTATCCAGATTTGGTGTTTTCTGGTTGGAATTACAGTCATATTGAGCAAAGGAATCATTTTATGAACTTTAAAAAGTTGACAAGAATGAACATCAGTTGCACATCTAGGTTATAAAGCAATACATTCTGCTACTTTCCAGCAAAATGCTTTCAATATTTCAAATTTGTTCATTGCCCTCAACTTTAGATAGGTTTACTTAATGATTCAGTAGTTAAAGCAGATTTCAGTGCTTGAATTTTTTGAACAATTTGTGTTTGATTTTCTGCCACATGTCACTTGCGTATTTGGCTAGATTGAAAACACAATTAACTTCAGGTCAGAATTGTTAGTTTTAATATGGCTGTCACTTTCTGTACATAAATTTTATTTCAGTGCACCCACTTCATACTACCTTTTGGCGTTGGCTTATTGGGTTTATTTTATTCAGATTCTGAAATATTTCTCTGTCTGCTCAATTCTCAGCATTTAGGGTGTAAGTTTGGTGCTATTGATTTCTCATGTTGGGAAACGTTGGAAGGTGATGTAGAGATCAGTCATTTTAAGGCATTCATGCAGCTTTTTGTTTGGAGGTTTGAACAGGGCATTGACTCCAGGCGTAAGTGTCTGCATCTTTAATGGAGCCGGAGTTCTTTATGGAATATATCTTGTATCAGCATTCTTCACAGTCCTCCTTGCTATAATAATGTTTTTACGAGGAAGTCAATGTGGACTCTAGTTTCACGGTTATTGCAAAAAAAGTTGGGTTTTGTTTTTAGTTTCTCTAGCTCCCATCCCAAACAAATCAAAGAAAAATGGGAGCAGTTGGCCCCATTTGAGAATTTATTCAGATTGTTTCCAATTGTGATGTATTTGTCAAATTTCTTATGATGGGATGACTTATTGAGTTCTCTCATGCTCACACAATATCACTAAGCAATTTCCTCTCATACTGACTTGTGAAACGAAAATAGGCATCTGGCAATTAGTTGAATAGTGACTGCAAAACAAAAGTGAAAGAACAGCTACAATTCCCGGAAGGTGGCTTGGTTCTTTGTTAGCTTATTTAATGCTACTCTTGTTAATTTAGAAACTCATCCTAACTGGTTGCAGTTCTTTCTTCCCACCATATTTTAGATGTTCAGATTATAGACAACGTCTTTCAAAGATTCTTTTATTTATTTTTGTCATGATTACAGAATGAGATGCACAAAGTAGACCAGCTGAAGTTGAAAAGTGCCTGGCTCTTGTATTCTGAAGGCTGGGGTGCCTTCATCCTTTAAGTATTCCTAGCAACAGTAATGGTTACTCATAGGAATGCAATGAAATATGAATAACTATAGTGGGGAGATGGGGGAGATTTCAGCCTAGTTTGAAAATAAGATCTCAAATGCATTTGTTTGGTACTAATCCTGCAATTTTCAAAACCCAAATTGTGTATCTTGACTTAATTTAGATGGAAAGATTTTCTTTCTATTGGTCTTGACTGGGATTTGATTCGCTGAAAACAAATTGAAAAAACATCTTACTTAGTTCCCAAGCCCCTTGGCTGCATATGTTAAACTTGTTGCATTTGTGCTCACTTGAGCAAAAATAGCATCTCTGTTTTGCATCCAACGATTGGTTTCCTCATTTCATAAAATAACATCCTCCCAAAAACTCTTAAATGTAAGTTTTGATGCTGTGTATTTCTGAGATGGGGTTTATTTTCTATTACTTGACTTCCCATAATACTGGTAACTCTGGGTGCAAGTATTGATGGCTAATATTTGCCATGATGTTTTCTTTTCAGTTGATTGTGGCTTGCAGTGGATATTGCAATTGTTACTTGTCAGCTTGGGTAACACTGTTCTCAAAGCTGAGAGCCTCCAGGACTTAATAATTTAACATTTGTTAATATAGTGTGACTTAGTTAGGAGAATGTGAATATATAGAATTTGGAGTAATGTGCTTGATTAGTATGCAGTGTTTTTGCCAATAGCACAGCTACTATAAAAAGTTTGTTTGCTAATTTTGCTTGGACATGTTACATTTAGAATTGCTATTAGAATAAAGGAAAAAAAATCTTATTTAGCCGTCTGCTATGATGCAATGTTGACTATTGGTGGTCAATATCAATTATTTGACAAATGAGCTATAAGGTAAGGAAATTCTCAATTGTGATGATCCTCATTAAGGCTTCATCCATGATATACTACTACAATAGCAGTTTCAAATTGTACGTCTACAATATTTTTAGTATTAATATTCAGAAAATAACATTGTTCGCTCCTGTTTCATTGGTGCTTGTTCACTGAACTACTTTTCGTGTGAATCAGTTTTGAATTTGACCCCTTGAAATACAAGTCCTTAATTCTTTTCCAGTAAAAAGGAACTGACTTTGCATAACCCTTCCATCCACTCAATCATTCTGCTGCTTGTCTTTAACCTTTTTCAGGAGTTGCACACCCTTTCTATATTGTGGCGCCAGATTCTTTTAATTAATTCATGGGAAGTGGGTGTCATTGTCTAGCCAGCATTTATTGACCATCCCTAATTGCCCAGAAGGCAGTTAAGAGTCAGCTATATCGTTGTGGGTCTGATGTCACATGTAGACCAGACCAGGTGAGAATGGCAATTTCCTTCCCTAAAGGACATTAATGAACCAGATGGGTTTTTCCTGACAGTCGGAAATGGTTCCATGGTCAAATATTTGCAAATAATTAGCAAATTCAATGAAAATGCTTAAAACTCAAAGATCTCTTAATGTCATTGCAATACATGCAGTGCTTACACAACAGTTTCCATATCCAGGTTTTGGAATGTAAAATTCTTCCATCATTGATCACCTGCTTAACACCAGTTTTGTCTAATCCCACTGAATTGAAACACCCTTCCTTATTTTTGTATTTGTGACTGTTGATTTGCATTTCATTCCATTAATTTCGCTCAGTTTGGTGTCATTGTTGCGTGTACCGTATATCAGCACGTCCACTGACTGAAGACAAACATGACAGGTACTCAGCATTGTGGTGTTATTTTCATAGACCATTCCTAAACATACACTGAGTTGCCTGTGATTGGCGCTGGTATGAGCTCTATATTTGGTGAGCAGGAACAGAAGGAATAATAATCAAAAGTGTCCAACTGTGAAACTCTGTTTATCCTTCTACCTCCTCTTAAAGTTTGGAAATATACTGAATTATGGGTTATCTGCTGTCTACCATCAGTACTGAACTGACTTAAATGTATAACTGTTGCCAACAAGGTTTCATCTGAGATACAAGCCACATTTTTGAGTTCCCCTTCAGTGTTGTACTGTTATGTTAGAGCCTGGTAAAGCAAGTAGAATTAAACCTAATTTTTTTAAAAAAAAGTTCTATTATCTAACTGTAGTAACCAAGCAACTCATTTCATTTGTTATAATCAATACTGAAAGCACCATTGTACTGCCTCTTCTTTATAATGTGGACCTTTTTCTTGAACTGACTCGTGTAAAGGAAGGAAAACGTATCAAGTAGGATGATGCTTAAAGGTAAGAGCTTCATGGGCAGCAGAATACTGACATTTCTAAATCAGTGTTCAAATAACACTGTTCAATATTGGCCACCTCACTTGAGAGACTGCAATTAGACACTCCTCATTCTAACAATTGTCAGATCCCAATACAGTATTGTCTTTGTTTATGCTTTCATCTTTTACATTAGTGATTATTCAAGACTCTTCAGTCTTGACAGTTGGAAACAAGTTTCCAAACTTGTTTTATTTTAACCTCCTGTTGCTCAATGCAAATTCAATTTATTGAACTTAAGCCAGTTTAAATCATTTTTCTTTTGATTACTTGATGCTTGAAGTCCTCTTGGCCACCACTTTTCAGATACGCTGGTAGAGAGCAGTGAATTCTTAATCTGCATTCAAGTTGAATTCTGTTTTAATGAATTGATTTCTCTAGATGGGTACCGTTCTTGTCGTGAGTTGATGTACTACAGAAGGTGGTTATATTGAAGATAATTCCTAATGTTTCTTTTACAGCTATCATTTTGGTATTAAATGTTTTATGACTGTTAAAACCACTCTTCTTTTCTTAAATTTAGGTTGCCTTTGATGAGCACGTCACTGTCTATTATGTGAGTAATGAAGAAATCCGTAAAGGACCCTGGGAAGAGTATGCCCGGGATCGCTGCAGATTCCAGAAACGAATTCAAGAGACTGAAGAGTCTATTGGCTATTGTTTTACCCTTAAACACCGGCAGACTGTGCTGGAAAATTTGCTACTGAGCAGCTAATGATCCATGAGAGTAAAGGGCTTTGGAAATGTTCATCTTGTTAATAGTTTATTTGCAAATTGCCCCTCGTTTTTGTTGAAATTTTGTGCACTCACACACTTGCCTACCATTTAGGAATTGCTGGGAAGTTTGTTATGCAGTTAATGCTCAGTCAGTTTGCAACATGAAGGAACATGTGAAAAAATAATCACTAGAGTTACAATGACATATCTGGGGAATTAAAATTGTGCTAAAATCTGCTTGCTAGATTGATATATCTGCAAGTGTTATTTGATCTAATGATTACAGCATTTAACTTTTATTGTGACATTATTTTTATGGTGTACACCAGTGGTTTCTCTATCACTCTACTATTTGATCCAACTTGTGTGAATCACCTAGAGATGTACTTGTGGTTTACCGAGGTACATCTGCTTTACCCCACTTGAATGACATTTGGGTAGTACAGCACTTACTGTTAATTAAAAAAAAAAAAATTCCCAAATAAAGATCGTATATTGTGAATACAGTAGCTGGGTTTTTCCCAAGTTGCTTATTAACTGGAGTTTACATTTAGGTTCCTAGTGAGTTTTGCTCCCTGTTTCCAGCAAATTTTTCTTACAATCAAATCTGATTTAGGGAGAATATAATGTCACATCTTATACTGTACAAGTTAGACAATGACATAGCTTCTTTATTTAATTGTCTGATTTGATTTGTTGGTGCAGCCTAATTTCAGAACTGTCAGTGTGAAGGAAATCATTGCTTGCGCTAATGGGTTATGTTTGTTAAAATATGTATGCTGTATTGGGGGCTTTTGGTTAGCTCTTTGATCTTTAAGCTTTAGCCTTTAAAAATGTTGGGAGAAGGGGGGGCTTTAGTTTCATTGGTGAATAGATTATTTGTGCAAACTTTTTGGATCCACTTCTGTCAATCGTGTTTAAAGAAGCTCAGTTTCCTGGTTAGATTTTCTTCAGAGTGATAACACACAGGAGTCTGTGTCACTGCTTTCTAATGTACTACAGTAGGAGTTTCCACTTCCCAAAGGTAGATGTAAACAGCACAGGTGGTGGCTATTTGGTCTCTTATGCCTGTGTTAGCTCTTTTTGTAAGAATGTTCCAATTAGTCCCACTTCTCTGCTCTTTGAAATAGCCTTGAAAGTTTTTCCCTGTTGATAAATTCCCCTCATCTGCTTCAACCTGCCAGGCAGTGCATTCCAAATGGACTTTTTGAGTTTAAAAAGAGAGTGACCAATTTACAAACAATGATTTCATGTTTCAGTGAAGCCTGGTCCTTAAATGTTACATAAAAGGAATGTTAGTTCAAGCCAAGCCAGCATTGAGTTTCAGGGCATATATGGGTTGTGGACTGAGCCATCCCTTTCATTCGACAATCAGAAGCTATTCACTAGCTGTTTTTAACAGAACTGTTTCTCAGCATGGGATGGAAAACTATGATTTACAACATTAGTAAACTACAGCCAATCTTTCTTTTTATCTTCCTAATCTGGTGGGCTGGTGATCATGCCATGAAATTACCATTGTATCTGATCACCATTCTGCACACTTTATTAGAGATGTAGTTCATACCATATTACTTTCTTGGAATTGACTTGTTTGTTGCAGTAAATTTTTTAAAGATGATTGCAAGTCATCAAGAATCATTACCAGATCTTTGAGTATGGATTTTAAATTGTTACTTTTCCTGTTGTATTTCAGTTTGATTTTTAAGTATGTATATTAATCAAATTAAGTTCCTGACTATATCTGAGAAAAAGTTCAGTTGAATTTGTCTGTTTTTGAGACAGTGCGTAGCTATGTCACTCAAAAGTTGTTCCACTTTCTTGGAAATGTGGTTGAATATATAATTGGCAGAAGATTGTGATGGGGTTATCGATAGGATTTCTCTTTCCATTTGATTGGATGTGTTTATCCTATATTGGTCTTGAGGTTGCCAAGGCTTTAGACTTCAGTGGTTTGATCTGAGATTAGTATCCTTGCTTAATTAATCTACGTTTCAAAAGCATTTGATACTAGTCAAATCTTACTGTACTTCAGCCTCTGCATTTGTGACATTGTGCTTTAGGCAACTTTTTGCAGTCCCCAAATTGGATTGTGAAACAGTTGCTGATTGACAGTCCTTGATTCCAGGTTGCTCAATATGGTCTTTAATATTTCTTTGTGATGCACCTTTTTCAGAATTTGATTGTGTTTGAAATTTCTGAAGTTCATCTTTTAGCTCACATTGAAATGTCATGGGCAAACTTGTACAAAGTGAGATTAGATTGTGAATCTGGTTCTCTAAATGTAATAATGAATTACCAATTAACAATACTGAATTTGAATCTAGTTATATCTGATGAACTAGGTGACATTCGCACGTTAAAATTTGCTACTTAAAATTGCTTGTTTAAAGAAACCATGCCTAGTTTTGTTTCAAATACAGTACTGCGCTACTCTAACAGTGCACCTCTTTTGAGAAAACACTTCTCACCTTGGGTAGCAACGATCATGTTAGTGTTCCAACTCAATCAAGGAGCTGGGAGTTTGACAAAAGTTGACCCTGATCTTTGCGTGTTATGTGTGCAGTGTTCATTTGTTACTGAAGTTGTTCTGATGAATTCCCCCTTTATTGGGAAAAATGTTTGTGTAAGTAAATCATATAACAATTGGAAAGTAGAACTCAGATTATTGCAAACATTATTTGACTTGAAGGGCAGTGCTTCCACATACACTTCAATTCAACCTTGAATCTCCACCTTGTGTACAACAAATTAGTGTATGACCTTGGCTTGTCCAACTGATGGAATTAATTTTGGACCATCTTCCTTCTATAGTTTATTTATCAAGGAACTAATTGTATTTTTGTATAATTTTGCAGATTTGTAAACAATGTAAAGAAAGTTATATTAATTTACATAAGATTTACTAACTAGGATAAATAGATGTTTGTGACTTGTAATTCCCCATCAAATGTTTATGAACGTCACAGTAAATTGAGACATCGGTGTGCCTGAAGCACTGAGTAACCCAATAGTGTCGAGATCTCAAATAAAATATTAATGTGCATCATCTCAGTTCATTATTAACTTTGTAACTGTACTGAACTGTATTATTGCAGATTCTATTATTTCACTCCAGAGAGATGGATCCATGCAAGTTTTGAACTATGTCCCTTTTATAGTAGTGGGCTGAGACTGTAGGTTACTGAGTGGGTCTGTACCAGCCAACAAAGTAAGGGTATTCCATTAATAGGGTACCAACACTTCACTGATTCCATATATGAAAAAGCAACTCCACCAAAAGTACATCCCTGTAATTTTGTCTACTTCTGTGTGGCAAAACCGGAAATCTCTGTTTGGAGCTGATTTGGTATTTTGTTTGGAGTACATGGACTCTACGTGTTTCTGTGTGCTGTGGAGTGGTGATTGTCAAGTGAAGACCTGTAAGTTGGGGCTAATATTTGCATTTAGAAATAATAGATGAAGCAGAGTAAGGCTGGCTTCATGAAAGGGGACTTAAGCTTGACAAATTTATTTAAATTCTGAAGAAATATCAAACATAGTAGATGCAGGGGAACCAGTAGTTAAGTATTTTGATTTCCAAAATACTTAAAAGTACTGCAGTGTTAGGCTACCCCAGAGTATTGGGAGTGGTATACTAGTGTGAAGAGTGGATTGGGTAATTTGAAAAAGACACTGGAAAAAGAGACGGACATTCAGACCCTTAGGCACTCTCCTCCATTCTGCTAAGTGATGGCTGGGACACTCCAACCCCATTTATCCACCTTAGCTCAATATCCTGAGATTCTTAGCTAAGATTTCTGTTGTTGTCACTCTTGTGTGCTAACTGTCCCTAACATCCAGTCTTTGAGAAAGAGTACCATCAGATGATTTAAGTGAAGTGCCTGCTGTTCTGGAGAGTTGACACAGAAGTCACAGGTGGAATGGCTGCCTCCTATTCTCTAACTGTTTCATGATACTGAACATTTTCTAATCGACCTGTTGAGAGAGTTTGCTTGCGCACATCTGGAGCAGGGTGGGACATGACACATGGCCTAGCCTAAAGATGGGGTTACTAACACTGTGCCATAAGTGGCTCCTCATCTGACACTTCTATACGTTGGGGTCAAAATTGGCTCTAGCTGGGTATCGGCAGCATCTGTGGTGAGATCGGACAGATTTTTAAGGATTTTACTGGAATTTTTGCAATGTTTTAATGTGAGCTTGTATGGTTTTTGAGGTGGTCAGAGGCAGGAGGCCCCAAAAATCTGTGAATGACCTACATTCCTATAACCTCTTTCACGGTCCAAAGTCCTTTGCAACTTTGAAGTATGTAGAGCATAATAATTTTTAGTCAGGAAGCACGTCAGCCGTAATTGCATTTAGAAAAAATCCTGCAAGTTGTAATGTGATGCTAGTTGAGAAATTAACACTGGCAGAGAGTCTGGGAGAAAGAGAACCCCTCAGAAGAGTGCTTTTGGATGTGTAATGTTTATCTGAAGGGGCAGAAGGAACTTATGATTTGAAAGGCATCATCTCTACAATGGTATGGTGATCCATCAGTATTGCATTGAAAGGTCAGCCTGGACTTTTGTTCTTTGGTTTCTAGAATGTGGTGAGCCCATGACCTGAGTCAAAGGGTGTGTGCTGCCAACTGAGCCACATTTTACATATTTGTTTATCAGACCTAGAAGAAGTTTTTAGTTGTGTATACTTGCAGTTTTTAAACTGTTTCAAGCTGGTACAGCTTTTGCTTGAAAAACAGTCCTGCAAAAGGTACAGTAGCCACACAGGCACTATTCCAAAGCTTCTGTGTTGCACAAGGCTGTCACGTGGCTGATAGGATGTTTTGAATCACCAAATCTCCTGTTCTCAGTTAGATTGTACAATGCAAACACAGACCTATTGTGTCCTGCTGCAGCTGAGGTAAAAAAAATGTTTTTTTAACGCCTTCCTTTGTGAAACTTGGGCATAAAATTTATATTTATGAACCTATGTATATTGTGAAGCTACATATTAATATACAGGGTCCTGTTCTTTGCAACCAGAACATGTATGCATACTACCTCTTTCAATTCAAACTCGGTGGCAGACATCCTCTGCCTTGACCAATCAGATTCAACATCGTGCTTTAAAATTTAAGCAAATCTTAGCCATTGATCACTGGCGCATTCTCTATGGCAACACTTCTACCACTTTGTCGCTGTCCCCTCGTACAGAATAAATTGTTTTTTCCCCTTTGGCATTTCTTTTCAAATGTTCTGATGAGTAAAAGATTAAATGTTTCATAGAATCTGTTCACAGCATCCCATTCCTATTCCTGTTCCTATTCCCCCTATAACCCACCTAATTTACACATCCCTGAACACTATGGGCAATTTAGCACAGCCAATTCAACTAGCCTGCACCTCTTTGGACTGCGGGAGGAAACCCACACAGATACGGGGAGAATGTGCAAACTCCACACACGGTCACCCGAGGCTGGAATTGAACCCGGGTTCCTGGTGGTGTGAGGCAGCAGTGCTAACCACAGCCACCATGCCACCCGTGAACAGCTTGATAAATTGTTTTTAACAGCTCTTCTGCCTTATTCATCTCTTGCATATTTTCTGTTCAGAGATGTTGTTACGCACCTCTGGAGCCGGTTGGACTTGAACCCAGACCTCCTGGCTCAGACATAGGGACATTACCACTGCTCCATCAGAGTCCCTTGTTTATCTAATCAACCTGTTCAGAGATGTTATTACAAAGCTCTGGAATAAATGGGACTTGAGCCCAGTCCTCCTCGTTCAAAGGTAGGGACACTAGCACTGCACCACAAGAGGCCTCTTATTCCCATCAGATTTTTTTTTTAGATATTTTCTAATCAACCTCTTCAGAGATGTTTTTACAAAGCTCTGGAGCAGTTGGGACTTTAACCTGGGTCTCCTGGCTCAGAGGTAGAGAATCTACCAGTGCATCACAAGAATCCTCATTCATCTTTTAAGAAGGTGCTAATGTACATCAGCTGCTGTATTTGATGTCATTCTGGTAGGTATGTAGGTGGCCGCTAGGCACTGCCTGCGATAGGCAGAGAATATACAACCATTGTGGTTAAAGTTCTTTCGAGCAAAATAAGAGGATTAGAAAAGGACAGAAATGGAATTGGCTGAGATTTTGTATGCATTTTATCTAAATATGCACATAGATAGCGGCTGTTTGGAGCAGATCCTGGAGGTAAGTTAGTTCTCCTTGACTATCAGTTAGAAAAAAAAGTTATCATTTTGCTCTGTGCAGGAGTTCACATTTCTGACCCAATGATGTTTTAATTTGCCTGGATCTGTCTTCCCTATGGATCAGACCCTGCAGCACTCACTGCCTAAGCAGTGAAAAAGAATTCGGGTAGGAGGGGGTCAACCCTAGACTTCAAGATAATCTGCATAATCAGTCCAGGTTTTGAGAGATCGTAAGGAATGTTTATTTCAAATGATCCAAGCAATGAAGAGCTTCTGTTTTGTGGAGAGACTTTGAAAGTTCTGATTAAATTGTCTCTGATGTAAGAATAATGATGGGACTTAGTACTGTTATCCAAAATCCTGAGGGGCTCTGTTACAGAGAGTGGATAAGGGGTGGGGGAAAAACTTTCCGCTCCCAACAAGCTGCACAGAGAAAATGGTTAAAAGTACTGGAGTGGTTATGAGATGTACATTGATTTAATTTGGTCTTAAGTTTATTCTTCCAGCAATATTTTTGTCAAAGCTTTTCATCTTGCACTCAGTAGGCCAGTTCACAAGAATACCATTGTAGGCACCAATGTACGGGGAAATGCAACAATTCTGCCATAAGAGTGCACCCATTCATACTGATTGATTGACCATTAAACGTCAGGTTTTGTTTCAATTTTAAACCAGATAGGCTGACATAGTGTTCAGAGTATCGTCCCAAGAAATGAACCAATAAGGGGCTGTCACCCATTGTATTGTACTCCTAAAGCACAACAAAATGAGTCATAAAGCGCAGAAACCGGCCCTTTGGTCCAACCAGTCTATGCTGACCATAATCCCAAACTAAATTGTCCCACGTGCCTGCTTCTGGCCCATATCACTTCAAACTTCTTCTGTTATAGGAAGGATATTATTAAGCTGGAGAGGGTTCAGAAGAGATTTACCGGGTATGGAAGGCTTAAGTAATAAAGAAAGGCTGGGACTTTTATCACTGAAGCGTAGAAGGTTGAGAGGAGCCCTTATAGAAACTTATAATGTGTAGCTAGAGTCAATGGTAGTTGTCTTCCCCTTAGGATGGGGGATTTCAAGACTAGGGGACACATTTTGAAGTTGAGAGGAGACGTTTAAAAAAGACATGAAAGGCAACTTTTTTACACAGTGGTTTGCATGTGGAATGCCCTTCCTGAGGAACTGATGGATGTGGGTGCAATTACAATGTTTAAAAGAGATTTGGGCAAGTACATGAGTAAGAAATGTTTGGAGGGATATGGGCCAGGTGCAGGCAGTTGGGATTACGTTTGGCGTGGACTGGTTAGACCGAACGATCTGTTACCGTATGACTCTGTTCTGACAAAATACTTACTGCATTTCTGAAAAAAATTATGCCCTGATTAAAATGGTGGTGGACATGTTTTCAAAAGTAACCATTAAAAAGCAATTTGCAGTATAATCAGAAAGGAAATGTATGCAGGACTATAGGAAAAAAGAAGGGAATTGAGAGTACACAGTATGGTGCTGGAGGAACAGCAGGCCAGGCAGCATCACTGGGGCACGAAAGTTGACGTTTCGGATCGGGGCCCTTTTTCAGATTCCTGCTCCTCTGATGCTGTCTGGCCTGCTGTGTTCCTCCAACTCCATACTGTGTTGTCTCTGACTCCTGTATCTGCAGTTCTTGCTATCTTGGAATTTGGACTAAGTGGATAGATCCTTCAATGAGCCAGCACAAGCACTATGTGCTGAGTATCCTCCTGGGCTTTAAAAGTATCATTCCAACCACAGGGAGGCGATGGTCTAGCGCTATTATTGATGGACTGTTAATTTACAGACTCAAGTAACATTCTGGGGACTTGGGTTCAACTTCCGGCCATGACAGATGTGGAATTTGAATTCAATTTTAAAAGTCTGGAATTAAGAGCCTAATGTTGGCCATGAATCCATTGCTTATTGTTGAGGTAAACCTGTCTGGTTCACTAATGTCCTTTATGGAAAGAAATTGCCATTCTTACCTGGTTTGGCCTACATGCAACACTTTAGACACACAATTTTGTGGGTGACTCTTAACTGCTGTCTGGGCAATTAGGGATAGGCAATAAATTCTGGCCTCGCCTGTGAAAGAATAATAAAAAAAAAAAGCATTGCAGTAATGTGGATGTTTGGAATCGGACCAGGTCCCTAGAACAGTAACAACTGGACGTGTGGCTAATTGCCTGCCACGTTGGCTTACCATTGCAGTATCTCTTATCAGCTGTAACACAAACCTCTTCAATGTTTAATGTTCTTATTTGCTGCTCTTTCCCAATGCCATTTCATCATTTATCGAAAGAAGCACAGTTCTTTTTTTTAAAAGAGCAGTATGGCAAAAAATTATGCAATGCTGAAAATTCAAAACCCTTGGAAAAGAAATCAATAAAGGGAGTCAGCAATGTATGTGGGAAGGAAGTATGTTAATCTTTCAGGTATGAAGCCTGAAAGATGGTCAGTGAGTTAAATAACAACAAATGTAAAGGCAATAAAGCTTTATTTTGTGGCGGCTGTTTTAGCAACTTACTGCTTGCATTTTCACTTTTCGTTTTGTTTCACAGAGCTCCTGTAGTAGGTGTTACTTGTGGCTCGGTGGGTAGCACCTTTTCGAGATTGTAATTTCATTCCTGCTGCAGAAGCTCAAGAAGAAAGGTGAGAGTTTTTGTAAGAAATGGCCGGCACCATCAGATTGGCATTCTCTGCTCCTATGTTTTTGCACTAGGACTAAGCTCCGCAATTCTGGCCTGGTCTTCCAGTCCCAGCTGCTTCCCAAAGCAGAGAATACCTAGAATCCAACTGTATCCTTATAGTGCAGGATAGTTGGGAGAAGAGAATCTACAGTCCTCCTTTTTACATCAGTAGGTGCTGAATTCTGTGAACAGTCCAATTGTCCTAAATCTTGTGTTAAACTAAGCTGGAAATAGCATTAATTAACAGGAGAAAATATTTTCAAAAAAATGCATATGAATCTTGATTATCTCATAGCACTGTCTGTGGGTCAGGAGGTTGGGGAGAGGGTGAGCACTGTCTTCTGGTTGAGGTGGGTGTGAAAATAAAAGGCATGGGGGAAGAGATTGAACCTAACTTGGATTCACTTATGCTCTTGAGCAGGTTGTAGATGAGCTGTGAATGTTCTTAGTAAGTTCCTGCAAAAGGGAGGATATGTAGAGGTTAAGTAGGACAAGTATACAGCAAGTGACTGAGCAGCATGGGCAGAGTAAACCTGTAATCCAAATATTAAAATTTGGCATCGGTATCATGGGTTTCACCTACTTTAGGACTTCATCAGGCTCCTGAGGAGTATCAGTAACATACATTTGAATCAGAGGGCTCTCCTCCATATCAGGAGATTTGGGCCATAACAGATTCTGGAATTCTCAGTGCAACACTGAGGTAGTGCTGACCTGTTGGAAAAGCTATTGTTCAGATGACACTTTAAATTGAAGCCCTGCCAACCCTCTCGGGTAGTGAATGATCCAATGGCGTTAGGTCCAAGAAGTGCAAGGCAGTTCTAGCTGGTGTCTCAGTGGCCAATATTTCACCCTCAACCAACATAACTAAAGCCGATTATCTGCTGTTATAGCATTGTTGTTTGTGGGAACTTGCTGTGAACAAACTGACTGCGGGATTTCCTGCATTACAAAGGTGGCTATGCTTAATAAATAATTCGTTAGCTGTAAAGTGTAAAGTTGTGACTGATGCTATAAATACCAATATTTTCTTATTTTAAATTGAATTTGAGGAGGGGGTGGAGTGGGAGAAAGGGAATTATAATCAAACAGAAGTGTTAATCCATCTGAAGTGGTTTTGTTCCAACATTGATCCTCTTGCGTACTTTCTCTTCAGTTTCTGGCTGATCCACGAGAGCAGAAGGTGAAAACTGATGTTACCCTTGAATGGATGTTTCTCCCAATGGGATTTCACTGAGAATGTCTCCAAGGTGCTTTTTAGAACATGGCCAGCTTGAAATTGAGAGGAATTATTCTGTCCATCAGCTGCTGGAATCCTCCAGAGGGCCTCTGAGTGGTTTCACTTTGTTAAATCACTTTACTGTTCTTGTTGACAACATTCATGCCATTGTCTTTCAGTTCTTGTTTAGATAAGGGAGGACCAGTGGATGTGATGTATTTGGATTATTAGAAGACTTTTAATAAGTTTCCTTATAAGAGGTTAATTATGAAATAAAAACCGAAAGAACTGCAGATGCTGTAAATCAGAAACAAAAACAGAAATTGCTGGAAACTGAGGAAGGGTCACTTGACCCGAAATGTTAACTCTGATTTCTCTCCACAGATGCTGCCGGACCTGCTGAGCTTTTCCAGCAATTTCTGTTTTTTTCCCTTTATTAGAGGTTAATGGGCAAAGTTAAAGCACGTGGAACAGTGGGTAATATATTGCATGGACCAAATAAGGAGAGACTGGGAGTAAATGGGTCTTTTTTGAAGTGGCAGGCAGTGACTAGTAGGGTGCTATACGGATTGGTGCTTGGGTCCATTTAGTCACAATAAATAAATAACCTGATAGGCGAACTGAGTGCAACTGATGACACAAAACTGGGTGGGATTGTGAGGAGAATACAAGGAAGTTTCAAAGTGATTCAGACAAGATGAGTGAGTGGGCAAACACATGGCAGATAGAGGACAAGATGGCTATATGTAGTTATGCAGTTCGGTTTGAAAAACAGTAAGGAAGAATATTATTTAGATGCTGATATATTAGGTGGTGTGGATCTGGATGATCTTGTATACCAGTCAGTGAAAATAGACAGGAAAGTTCAAAAAACAGTTAGGAAGGCAAACGGTATATTGGCCTTTATTAAAAGCGTATCGGAGTCCAGAATTTGGGCCATTTTACTGTAGTTAAACAGGGTCTTGGTGAGACCAGTGGTGGAGTATTCCTCACTCAGAGATAGTAAGAACTGTCGATGCTGGAGTCAGAGATAACAGTGTGGAGCTGGAGGAATGCAGCAAGCCAGGCAGCATCAGAGGAGCAGGAAAGCTGACGTTTCAGGTCGGGACCCTCCTTTTCTGAAGAAGGGTCCTGACCCAAAACGTCAGCTTTCCTGCTCCTCTGACGCTATTGTGGAGTATTCCTTGCTTTTTTTTGTCTCTATCTGAGGAAGGAAGTGCTGACTCTGGAGGGAGTGCAGTGAAGGTTTATCAGGCTGATTCCTGGGACAGCAGAACTGACCTATGGAGAGAAATTACATCAGTTACGACTGTATTCGCTGGTGTTGAAAAGAATCGGGGGGAATGGGGGTGGAGGTGTCAGGATTTTCATAGAAACAAGGCTGGATAGACTGAATGCAGGGAGAATGTTTTCCCTGGCTGGGGAGGTTAGAACCAAGGAACAGTTTTAGGATATAGGGCAAACCATTTAGGACTGACATGAAAATTTTCTTCACTCTAAAGGTAGTGAACCTTTGGGATTCTCTACCACAGAAAGCTGTGGAGACTATTTCACTGAATATGTTCACCAAAGATAGAAAATATTTGAGATTTTAAAGGCCTCAAGGGGTAGGGGGGGGGGGTGGGGTGGGAAAAGGAATAGGGCATTGAGGTAGAGGATCGACCATAATCGTATTGATTGGCAGGAGCAGGCTCAAAGAGCAAAATGGCCTACTGCCTCTCCTGTTTTCAAAGTTTCTGGATTCCAGATACTGAACTGGGCTGACATAAAATTATGCTGAGAAAAAAATCTAAAGGCTGATTCAACAGATTTGGACAATCCCAGCTGCTGGGTTATCTGGAGGTCATGCCTGTGTTGGTGAGCACTATTCACTGATCTGCATGCCAGCTCACACAAAATGTGCATTTCATTGATTTATTCCTGCAGTGGGTGGCTTTAGTGACCCACCGTGGCCCATTCACCATTTCCACCCGAAGTAAAACAAATGAGGACACTGGGTCTGATATTTTCCTTTTGATTTAAATCTCTCCTTTGTTGTTCCCTAATCGGTCAACCTCACATCCCTTTTACTTATGTACGACAGCTCCTCATGGCAGAAGGGTTTTTGATATGAACATGCAAAATAGGAGCAGATTTAGACCACTCAGCCCCTCACTTTCTCTGCCATTCAATAAGCTCATGGCTGATCTATCCGTGTTAAGAATTCCTCATCTGCCCCTATAACTTATGATTCTCTTGCCTAAAGTAAATCTAACATGGTCAACGCCAAGCTGAATGGTCCACAGGCACTACCTTCTTACTTTCACCACCACCATTTCCCTTCCTCTTTTCTCCTACTCCTCATCCTTACTGCCCCACTCTCCTCCCTTCAAAGGAAACTGAGATTGGTAGATAGACATATTGGTAGACATAGGAGCATAAGACTTGGAACCAGAAGTGGGCCATTTGGCCCCTTGATCCTGCTCCATCATTCAATGAGATCATGGCTGATCTGGCTATGGTCCCAGCTCCACTTTCTTTCTGCACCCTGGAATATATGATTCATTTCTGTATAGGTTCAGTCTCTATCTATTCAGTCTCCTTATTCTCAATCTAATTCCATCCTGAATCTGTTTAAAATCCCCAGCTTCCACTACCTTCTCAGGAAGGGGATTCCACAATGCTGAACAATCCTTTGAGAAAAGAAATGCCTCCCATCTCCATATTGAAAGGGAGACCCTCTTATTCTTAAACTTAGTCTCTCTAGCAAGGAGGGGACATTCTCTCGGTATCTGCCCTAACAGTCCCCTCAAGTTTTTTTTATTCGTTCATTAGGAAGACAGATTTCCTTCCTTACAGGGAGTTAATGAATTAGATGGGTGTTTAACAACAGTCAACAGTGATTACAATAAGGCCAGCTCTCTACTCCAGATTTTATTGAATTCAAATTTTGATGGCATTCAGAGTCAAATCCCCATTAATCTAGATTCTGGTTTGCTAACCCAGTGACATTGCTAATAGGCCACCTCCTCCGCTTCTATGTTTCAATAGGATCACCTCTCATTCTTCTAAATGTTAATGGACATAGACCTGACCCATTCAGGTCAGGGGAAAAGCCCTAAGTGCTGATACTATACATCACACCAAAGATTTCAGGACACAATGAATCTGGGGGGTTGTTATACAGGGTTTTTTTTTCCTATGCCAGAAGTGTTATCACACATAACTTAGCAACTTTCCCACTGCCAAAATCGCTGTGATTTTTTTTTTGTAAACTTCTAACCATAACCAGTAAAAACACTTGAGGCTAACTGAGCATTTACAAGCAAAGCCCATTGTGGGCAAAGCAAAACATCAAAAGTGAGGGTGTGGTGTGTGTTGGCTAGGGAGAGCAGCAACTTGATATGCAGCCTAACCCAGTTGGTTAATTATATTTAGGCAGTGGGCATTATTTGAAGATTCACGTGTGCTTGGAGAAAGGAGTAATCTACTGCTGTCCACAACACTCAATGCCAAACTTTCAGCTGGTTACCCCACTTAGGGTGCCAACCATCACTTTGGGAAGCCCTGTCTTTATCTTGACGTAGATTAGAGTCATGTCCTCTGGTCTTCCACTGTCCTATAAATTGGAAATAATCTATCAAAGGGGTAGACATGTGACATTGTGACAATGTTTAAGTATTAAATCAACCAGAGTGACTTTGTCCTTGTGGCAAACCAAACAAATCTTCAGAAAGTCAATTCCAAACCTTTTAACTGATTATTAACTGCAATGACTTGTATTTATTTGTATAACGCCTGTAACATAATCAAGTGTCCCAAGGTGTTTCACAGGTGCATTATCAAACAAAGTTCAGCACTGAACTTTATAAAAAGATACAAGGACAGGTGACCAAAAGCTTTCTCAAAGGGTTCAGTTCCAAGGAGCTTCTTAAAGATGTGTAAGGAGGTTTAGGAATCAAATTTCAGAAGCTAGCAGATATTATGTAATCCATTTAACCATGTGAGGACAGTTTCTCCTAACCTCCAGAAAAATCAGACCTTATGTCTTGCAATTTTCACCTTGCTAATTTCTTCCTGGCGGCTCAGGCACCCTGATGTTCTGTGGAGTGTTTGATTACTCTTACGTTGGAAGCTGTACAGGACATTGGTGAGGCCTCTTCAGGAATACTGTGTCCAGTTCTGATCGCCCAGTTATAGTAAGGATATTATTAAATTGGAGAGGGTTCAGAAGAGATTTATCAGGATGTTGCCAGGTATGGAAGGTTTGAGTTTTAAAGAAAGTCTGGATAGGCTGGGACATTTTTCACTGGAGTATAGGAAGTTTAGAGGTGACCTTTATAAACTAATGAGGGGTATAGATTGACTTAATGGTAGTTGCCCTTTCCCTACGATGGGGGATTTCAAGACTAGTGGGCACATTTTTAAGATGCGGGGAGAAAGATTTAATAGGGGCTTTTTTTTACATAGAGGGTGGTTTGCGTGTGGAATGAACTTCCTGATGAAGTAATGGATGTTGGTACAATTGCCACGTTTAAAAGACATTTGGATAAGTACATCAATATGAAACATTTGGAGGGATATGGGTCAGGACCAGGCAGGTGGTAGTAGTTAGTTTGGGATTATGTTCAGCATTGACTGATTGGACTGAAGGGTCTGTTTCCATCTTCTATGACAGGGCACCAATAACAATCTTAATCTGTGCCTGTGGTAAACTTTGTGGCCTTTCAATTTTTAATTGATGGTGGGAATATGGCTAACATAATTCCTGTCCCTGAGTTAGCAACTCTCATTTTAAGGGTTTTAATATCGTCATAGAGTTGGTGGAAACATTTTTATTCCCATTGGAATCGCGAGTACAATCTGTTCAGGAAGTGCCTTTTATTAAAAAACAAGTAATATGTGAGCAATTTGTAACCTACTGCTACACTTGGGATATTTCTCAATATTCAACTCCTTTGTTTTTTTGTAACTGGTCCTGGCAGACTCGTTTCAGTGGATTTGTTGAGAGTACCTTCACTATATTTTGACTGTGATAAGTTGCATTTCTGATTTTTGAATCAATGGCAAAAGTAATTAATACTGAAATTTATTCCTTAAAGTTGTGAATGACTGCCCCTTTATTATAGCATTATCTCTCTCTTAGTTTCTCAATAATGCTATGTGTTTCGAGAGAGATCTTATAGCCATGCCTTCAAACATTAAATCTCACTGGCACATGTAATCAGGCACAAAGGTCAGTGGGGGTGGCAATGGGTGTGGTTTTGAGGGGGGGGGTGGTTAGCAGGAGAAATGTTCTTCACTTTTACAATCGTAGAGATCCACAGCCCAAAAAAAGGCCCTTCAGCCCATCATGTCTGTATCAGTCACAAACGACCACCTCACTATGAGCCAGGTTCTGTCGGGATTTTGAGGTAGTTCTGTGAGAACAACGAGATAGATGCAGAAGACACCCTGAAATAGTCTCAGGGTATTAATTAGGAACACAGGAACAGCAATTGCCCAATCATTTCCTCAAACCTGTCCCACCACTCAGTAAGATCATGGCTGACCTGTACCCTGGCTCCGTTTATCTGTCTTTGCTCCCTATCCCTGGAAACCCTATCCAACAAAAATCTATCCTTCTCAATCTAAAGAGTATCAATTGACCTGTCTCAACAATGAATTGTAATCAACCAAAATTATAAATGATAAATAATAGCTTAAGTATCTTTTCAGTACCATGGTAACATTTATAATGTCTTATTGTCTAACAGAATCCTGGGTCATCTGAGGACTAGATGAATGACCATCTTTCTTGTTGAACGGTAATCGCAATAAATAAATGAATAAAGATAACACAGTGTGGAGCTGGAGGAATGCAGCAGGCCAGGCAGCATCAATAAATATGTTTTAATAATCAAATTGATTGTGTGTTCTTATTTATAAAGTATTGCAATGAAATTTATTTTTCAATGAGGAAGTGGCTGAAATATATGTCCCCTCAACACCTTCTAATGAAAGGTTTCCAGAATCAAACAGTAAGCGTATTCAGGAGGCTCATTTTCATTTGCTTTAATTCAGCATTGACTGTCTGAACCAGAGGGCATTCTGAAAAATGGATCAGCACATTAGGGCTCTTGTGATCTAGTGGTAGTGTTTCTACCTGTGGGCTAGGAGACCTGGCTTCAAGTCCCATCTGCTTCAGAGATGTGTCCTAACATTTCTGAACAGACTGATTAAAAATATTTTTTAAAATCTAGAAACCGAGTCAGTGGTCATGGAGCATTGAGCAAGGCTGAGGGCTGACGTCATTCAGGAGGTACATGAGGCATCAACTCACACCTGAAGCACAAACATAGTCAGAGGTGGCAGTCGCATTGATCACAAAGCTGCACTTTCCAAACCCGTGATCTCTGCCTCCCACAAGGATAAGGACAGCAGATATGTGGGGACGTCATTACCTGCAAGTTCCCTCACAAGACATACACTGTCCTGACTTGGACCTGTATCACTGTTTCTTTACTGTTACTGGGTCGAAATTCTGGAACTCCCTAACATCACTATGGGTGTAGTTATATACCATGGAGTACAGTTCAAGAAGGTAGGTCACCACCAGCTTCTCCCACAATGGAATAGATCCTTTCATTATCCATTCTGTCATTTCCCCTCTGGATCTCATAGATTTTAAAGTTGCACCTCTGCTGAATTTTGTTCAGCTATATGCAGTGGAGGATTCTAATTGAAGTTTCATTTGAGCAGGTACAAAGTGTTATGAGGAGATGCAATCCAAATATTGTGGACCTACTGAAACATATCTTCTGGTACAACAAAAACAATGTAGCACCTACAAGGGGCAGGGAGCGTGGATGGAGTCATAGAGTGTGGAGAACTGTCTGACCGGTCACATGGTTTAGTTTGTGTGTGCAATTACATAACTGCATGTATTCTTCAGATTCAGTCAGAGAATCTTTGACCTGCCTGAACAGCAAAAGCCTATTGTCGTCTCTCTCTCTTTGAAAATATATTGTTCTCATAGCAAAGTGTGCAGACTAAAAACCCACCAGAAGTCACCTTTACTATTCTCCCTGTGTCTGTGTGGGTTTCCTTCAGGTGCTCTGGTTTCCTCCCATAGTCCAAAGATGTGCCCTGCTAAATAGTCTATAGTGTCCAGGGATGTGCAGGCTAGGTGGGTTAGCCACGGGAGTTGCAAGATTACAGAGACAGGGTGGAATACTCTTTGGAGAGTTGATGTGGACGTGTTGAGCCAAATGGCCTGTTTCCGCACTGTAAGAATTCTATTCTTTATCCTCTCGAGAAGAATTTCAGGAAAGCATTCTTTAGAATTTATCCCACTGTTTGAAGCAAAGGGGGTTCAGACAGCTACAGCTGTTCCAGGAAGACATCCCAGTGCCAGCAGCTTGTGTGTGGGCTTAATACTTTGGAAACAAAACACCATTTGGGACAACGTGTGATTGATTCCTTGTTCATGAGTTTGACTATTGCTTGCCCAAAGTCCTTTAAAGTTCACACTGTGTGCATGTGTGCGTACATGTGTCTTTTTTTAAAGTACAGATTTATGCAATTGATTAATCCAAACTGTAAATAATCTTTGCACGTTGAGTAAGTTTTGTTTATGGTAATAAACCAGTTATTTGTCCTTGGTTAAAGAAATCTCCAGGACTACTTCTTAATATTGAACATGATATAGTTTGAGACCGATATAATTGCTTAGATCACCAATCTGGTTGCATTTAAAATCTGTTGTGACCAGCGGAGGAGTGGGACTAGAAAAAAAAAACATAGCAACAGGTGTAGGCCATTCAGCCCACAAGCCTGTTCCACCATTTAATGAGATCATGGCCTAAGTCTGTATAACTACCTTTAGCCCGTATCCCTTAATACCTTTGCTTAACCAAAATTTATCAATCTCAGATGTAAATTAACTGATCTAACACAATTTTTTTTTCTTTATTCATTCACAGGATGAGGGCATCGCTGGCTAGGCAGCATTTATTGCCCATCCCTAGTTGCCCAGAGGGTAGTTAAGAGTCAACCATATTGCTGTGGGTCTGGAGTCACATGTAGGCTAGACCAGGTAAGGTTGGCAGTTTCCTTCCCTAAGGGACATGAGTGAACCAGATGGGTTTTTTGGACAATCGACAATGGATTCACGGTCATCATTAGATTCTTAATTCCAGATTTTTTTTGAATTCAAATTCCATCATCTGCCGTGGTGGGATTCAAACCCAGGTCCCCAAAACATTACCTGGATTAACAGTCCACCAATAATACCACTGGGTCATTGCGTCCCCTTTGCACCACTCCACTAATCCCCTACTGTTTGTGGAAGAGCATGCCAACTATCTACTACTTGTGTGTAGAAGTGCTTCCTAATATCTCTCCTAAATGGTCTGGCTCTAATTCTCAGACCATGCCCATTAGTTCTAGAATTCCCAAACAGTGGAATTAATTTATCTTTATCCACCATGTCTTGAAGGCTTTGATCAGATCATCCTTTAACATTCTAAATTCTAGAGAAAATATGTCTAATTTCTCCTCATAACCTAACCATGAAGTCCATGAAGTATCATTCTTGTAAAAAGGAAACAATGGACGAATCTAACCTTGGTCCTGATGAGACACACTGGAACTATGGTGTGATTGAGTTAGGAGGTCCATGTTTGTAATACTTCATTCTGTAAGTAAATGTTTGACCGGGTGAAGACTGCCTCCAATGCCTTCATTCACCAACTGGCTTTCTGAAATATTACACTTGCACTGGCTGGGACTGAGACCACCATATTTAATGCTACAATTATGAAGAAACTTTTAAATAATGAAACTGATTGTGGCATTTCTGTGGTTTTTTTGACATCAGAGAAAAGTCTTTGAACGCTCACAATTCAGTCATCGATCAGTTTTCTCCTGCACTGCCTTTATGAGATTTTCTACATGACAGTACTGTTGACACATCGAAAGCACTTCACTGGCTGTGATAAGTGCTATATAACTGTGAGTTCAAGAAGGTAATGTAGAACCTCCCTCATGTGTTTGCTCATGGTTGTGTCAAAACAGTAAGCTAGTGTCAGAGACTGAGTCCCATAAGTCGAGGTACAGGTAATGTTTCCTCCCTCCATTTAGTCTCTTCTGTCAAACTCGTTAAACAGAATGGTCCTCTGGGAATGATTTTCCAAATTATCTGTATATGCCATCAGCTGCTGCCACCTCCTCTTCCAGCTTTAATTGGTCCCCTAGCGTATACATCTCCTCTTCAAATTCTCCAATGTGGGATGGTTTTCTGTCAGTTTAAGCAGATACAAGGTCACCTCCTGACTTCTGTCATCTCTTCAATTCACGCCACTTTTAATGTCTCCTCACCCAGGCCCCCAACACCAAACTCCCTCCAAGGACCATGATCTAACCTGGAGGAGAGACAGGGTCCTCAAGGGAGATTGAGGCAGAAAATGATGGAGCCATCATAGGCATGATTAAGTTTGTTATGTTTTGTCTGCAGTTTGCTCCAGTTTAAGACAGCAAATGTACCTGGGTTATTTGGCAGGGATCATTTTTACAAGCATAGTGCAATTTACGGCAGTACAAAAGCAAAACATGTGCTGGAAGTCTGAGAACAGAACTGCTGGGGGAAGAAATACTCTAGTTCAGGCAACAGCCATGGAGAAAAACAGAATTAATATTTCAGGTCAATGTGGAACGTTAGATGACAGGCCGTCAAATATTTGGCTTTGTCTCTCTCCACAGATGCTGCCAGATCCCCTGAGCTTTTCGGCATTTCTTAGTCTTATATCAATTCACATTCATAGGTTTTTATTCCCACTTTCCCAGGTCCATTGAGTTTACTCTGGATATCAAGAAACCAAGGCAGTTCTATAAATGGAATGTACCCAATGTTCTTTATTAAAGCAAGGTACACTTTCGAAAATGCTGCAATATCTTACCCACACAATGCTTGCAATCATGAATGAACCCATTTAAGTGGAACAAAAACAGAAATTGCTGGAGAAACTGAGCAGGTATGGCAGCATCTGTGGAGAGAAAGCAGAGCTAACATTTCAAGTCAGGTGACTCTTCATCACTTGACTCGATATGTTAACTCTGCTTTCTCTCCACAGATGCTGCCAGACCTGCTGAGTTTCTCCAGCAATTTCTGTTTTTGTTTCAGATCCTCAGTTTCCACAGTTCTTCGTTTTACTTTACTGTTTAAGTGGACTTGTCCAAAGATCAGATTGGAACAGGTGATGGCCCAAGTTTTTTTTGTATGACTTTTCCATACAAAGAAGCTATGCATTCAAAACTTGATACAATTCAATCTCCAGCAAATGATCAATATCGCCACCGGCAAACATCACAAATGCGTCATCTACCATGGTCAGTTTCAATCAATGAACTCATTCAGACTTGGTGTATCTCCCTGGGAAGAGGCTTATCCCTTGTTTTTAGCAAACTTCGACGTTAGTTTCAGCTTGCTCGTGCTGTTTATAACACTCATCAACCATACAATACCGCACAATGCTATGACAATCAAAATTCAACTTATATGACCCTCACTAACTTTTACAGATGCACCATTGAAAGCATACTGTCTGGGTGCATAATGGCCTGGTATGGCAACTGCTCTGCCCAGGACCGTAATTAACTATAGAAGGTGATGTGCACAGCCCAGGCCATCATGGGAGCCAACCTTCCATCTATGGACTCTATTTACACGGCTCGCTGCTGTGGAAAGTTTGTCAACACCAACAAAGACCCATCACACCCGGTAATGATCTCGTACAACTTCTTCCATCAGGCAGAAGACAGAAGCCTGAACACACGCACCAGGAGGTTCAGGAACAGCTTCTTCCCAGCCGTTATCAGACTGATGAATGGACTCTCTAACTTCAAATAATGCTGATCTTGTTAAT